GATGAGGTTGAATGAGGGCTAAGGTTGCTGCTGCGACGGCGTTCAGAATCGACAAGATTAGATGAGACAACCTGACTGTTGCTATGCAGTCGTCCTCTTCTAACTCCATCTTGGAAACCGACTTGTCCATCTTGAACAACATCAGCGTGAGCAGACTCTGGTTCCTGTGCGCCCGCGATCGCATCGGAAGGTCCCGAATGTCTGTTGCGCTCTAGGCTTTGGCGACGCTGGGCGGCTTCGACATTGGTGACATCGGCTGCCGGATCATTCAAGGTGCCGATCTGTTCATTCTGGCCACGACCTTTGTACTTGTTGCTGATTCTCTTCAGTAACTGGAGTTAATGAGACTTTGTCGCAATATCGACACGTTGATGTCACTCACTCGGTCCATGGTCGGGCCTCATAAGAGTCGTAAATCCCACCCGCTTTTTCTGTCCGAGTCCGGCAAATGTCCACAGTTCGGCCCTGGGTGCGGTAGGGTGAATGACGTGAATCGTGATCAGGAATGGTACGACGAACGACTGGGGCTGTGGGTATCCAAGTCCCCCGCCAAAGGCAATACAACTACCGCAGGGATAGTCAGCCGCTCGCCGGATGCGGAACTTGCTGATGCTAATCCACGTCCAGGACATCTACAGTGGTATCCCGTCCTCGGCAACAGGCTAGACGGGCCCGGAAAGAAGCCCACCAATTACAGACGGTATGAGCATCCCGCGGGTTCAGATATTGACGAGTAAGGAAAAGAACAGCATGACTGCAGCCTCTGTTGCCTGATGATGTAGTCAGCATCCATGACCCCGCGCGCGTGGCCAATGATCCCGTATCTGCTGCAAGGCTGCGGCGCACCCCCATGCTGCACGTTCGGCTCGAGCACTTCCTCATCTATTGCAGCGAATCAATTCTTTGATTAGCCGCTGACCGGATCGCCACTGACGCGGGTGACTGCATGCGATAAGTAAGTGAGTTATCGTCGCTGTTCGGATTATACATGCTTGTGTAATAAGAGGCTTTGCTTTTAGTCGCAGGCAGACGGTTCCAGACATTTGTACCATTTTCGCTTTACTCTTAAGGAGCATGTCAACCTCAGTACACTCGATTGCGGAGAAGGAAGGGCCTAGCGCTGGTATTGAGGGTGATTTCCCTCTCGACGAGGGTGTGGTTCAAGGTAAGTCCTTACAGGAAGGATTTCAGTCCACAGCTCATAGTCTTGGACAGCTCTACCGGAGGGTAGCAAGGTTCTGTCAGCGCATAGCTATGGTTCCTCCGCATGGACAGTCACAGCCCGCCTGAACGTTTTGCTTTCCGGCGGAACAGAGAAGAAGTATTTTCTCAAGATTGCGACCGAGGAACCTGGTCGCGTGATGATGGAGGGAGAGTTCAACTCAATGAGCTCTCTTTATCAGTCTTTACCGGAATTCATTCCCAGGCCTCTGACTTGGGGCAAGTTCAAGATCAAAGCGCCTGAGACGTACTTCTTTCTGTGCGACTTCATTAACATGACCAACGACATGCCGGATCCAGTTCAGTTCTGCGCCAAGCTTGCAGAACTCCATAGAACGAGTGAATCTCCGACTGGGATGTTTGGCTTCCACATTACGACCTGCCATGGTAGATACCCCCAAGAACTGGCTTGGGACCCCAGTTGGACTAGCTTCTTCACCAAACTGCTTCGAGGCTGTTTCGTATTCGAGAAGCAGGAGTGTAGTCCGTGGCCGGAGTACGACACAGTCGCAGACCGTATACTAAGCCATGTGGTTCCAAGGCTCCTAGGAGCGCTCGAAGAGGACGGCCGCAAGATCAAGCCGTCGCTTATTCACGGAGACTTGTGGGAAGGCAATATTGGAACCGAACTTTCGAATGGCAAGATCTACATCTTCGATGCCGGCGCGTACTACGCCCATCATGAGATGGAGATCGGCATGTGGCGATGTGAGTATCAAAAGATCAAATCGCGAGAGTATAAGCGACAGTATCTGCGCAACATGACCGTGAGTGAGCCGGCGGAAGAGTTCGAAGACCGCAATCGTTTGTACTGTATCAAGATGGATGTCATCCACTCAGCGCATAATCCTGGATCCATCGTCAGAGAAACGTAAGTCATAGTCAAGAGCGTGAGATGGAATGTACTCACATAGTCGTAGGATTTACAACGACATGTGCTACTTAGTCGACAAGTACGCACCATATCCACACGGAGAAGAGCCTTCAAAGAGTAAAATGCAGAAAGAGGTGCCTGCAGCCATGTGGAAAGGTGCAGAAAGTTCTGCGTTGTCGACATAAACCAGGAATGGGCCAGGATTTCCTAGTGATGTAATGACTGACTCTGGCTTTTCTGTCTCCAATTCCTGCCAGAGCGCTGTAATAGAACAACCATGGGTACAGATAGTAAAGTGAGCCCTGTCAATAGGGTAAAGGTCCATCCAGCTCCTAGCTTTGAGATCATGACGTCCAAGGCTGCCAGAGCTGCGCCTGCAAGAAGGCAACGAAACAAATTGGCGGCCGCACTAGCTGTTGCAGGTCGAATCGGATTGACGTCGACAAGTAAAGTTCCACAAGCCTAGGGATGTGAGAACAGTGATCTAGTGCGCTTTTTGACATACGTACATTGAACACACCGGTGATTGAGGCGCCGATGAAGAACTGCAAAACCAGTGGCACGGCGAAATGCGTATGCTTATCTAAAGCCCATCCATAGCCGATTGTCGTCGCAGCTGCAACGCTCATGTAGAAGTATGTGGCGCGCAAGCGAGCCTTCTCGATAGGAAAGTCTAGAAGATCGTCGGCGCGTGTTCGATCGATTGCGAAACCCAAACCAGAGGCGACTCTGCGGTATTCCCAGTTCATGATATAGCCTTATCACTATTAGCTACCAGTCTATATGAGCGTGCTGGAGACATCTTACCGCAAGTGTAGGAAGCCAAGACGCAGCCAACCCCGAATGGGATGTATATCAGGCCAGCATACAGTTCCTCGAAGCCATAAATTGTTATGAACAGGGTTGATAGCGACGCTTGAACACAGCAGTAAGTCATGTAGAATAAGCCGTTGATGAGCATGATCAATGCGTTCTCTTTCTGCCAGAGTGCTTTGAAACAGGGCTTGAGGCTGGGCCATCGCATCGGTTGAACGTGAGCTTCGCCTCCAAAGCTTGTTGTTGATGAGTTGTTCGACTTGAGCTTTGCGTGCGTTAGGTAAGACCTGTTTAAGAGTCGTGTAGGCATGATTGATCCGTTTCCTACAATCTTCCGAGCGGTTTCTGGTAGCGTAACGGCGAGTATGCAAAGGTTGATGCTGGATAGTATCGCAAGGGTCCAGAAGATCCAAGGCCATCCAGCGTATTGGACGAGTATGCCACCTAAGACAGGACCCATGCTGGGCGCTGCGTTCGGGCTAGAAGATGTCAACCAGGACCAACTGGCATGTCCAAAGCGGGATGATAGCATACCCCAGTAGAATTGTTCCGACAAATCCGCCTCTTTCAGCAGGAGTGGCAATGTCGCTAACGACAGCGTAACCAAAAGATATCGTACCTGAACACGTATATGTCAGCAGGCACGCCAGCTTGAGAATGTGCTTAGAAACTCACCGCTCGAGCCAGCACTTTGAAGCATCCGTAGCACTAGTAACGCTGGATACGATCTTTGAACAGCCAACCCCACATTGGCAATGGTATATGTGAGTATAGCGACCAGGTACAATGGTCGACGGCCGATGGTATCAGCCATGTCACCTAGGATGGAAGGCGCTACTCCAGATACAATCATGTATGTCGTGATCGATAGATTGGCCATTGTCAACGTGATGTTCAAATCCTCAGCAAGACTGAACAGTGCGGGATAGTAGATGAAGCTGCTGAGAGGGGAGAAGAGGCCCGCATATGCTACCAGGAAGACGATCCATCGTTTCTCGCCGGGAGTAAAGATGGAGTACGGTGGTGTGTCGGGTGTTATCTCCTGCTCTGGAATGTGAGCGACAATCGTAGGCTTTTCGTTCATACCGGGTGTGCTTGTTGGAGCGGCCATAGAGGCTGTGATGATGGTCGGTTATGACTGCATCCAAAGGATTTGGTGTGTTATCTCTCGATTGGCCCTGCGCGCCATGCTGTACCGATTGGTGGCAACACGCTGCAGCTGGCTGTTCGCCATTCCAGGGATCAACCAGAGCAGATCATATGACGCGCTGTTCGTGCCTCTACCCGAGGCTGTTCCTAGGCAAACGGCATGCTGAGTGTGTGTAACGCGACTGCGCCGCGTTGCGACACATTTTAGCAGCACCGGCTCCACGGGGGGCACCAGTCTCGGCTGCCCCTATCGGCATTAATCGAATACTGTCAAGCTCACCGTCTGCATTCATGAACGATGGGAATGCTTCTGTGATCGCGGCATGAGTACTCTGAGGTGTGTTGCACGATGGACAAGCTCTCGATTCGTAGCCCACGGCCACCCCAGACTGCCCCACTTAGTTCATGTCTTGACAGGCTAGCGCGCATCGCAAGCACCCACACTCATTGAAGTTGGAGAGAGCGGCTGCATGTCATGATGAGAACATCAAGCTTGAGATCAAAGGCACTTACAGAGACTATGAAGGCCATTGTTCCTGTCGCGGCACTCCGCATGAATAACCAACATGTTTTGTATTTCCAAGCCCTCTCGGGACCTGGAGCAAGTTCCCACAGAAGGCGGCCGCATCTCATGTCATTGGTATCTAACAAGTTGCACGAGGTGAGGTTCACGCGGGTAACTGCGTTGCTTGTATGTATACGTTGATACCATTAGCTATACTCACGTATAGCCAGTCGCTGCTAAGCGTGACTTTTCATACTATCATCTATGAATCATGACTTTCATCCAACCCTCCTATCTATTAATCCCGGCAGTGCGGTATCTCCTGTCGGACACACACAGCAACGAGAAGATGATACCTCCGAGTAAGACTGCGTCACGACACCCCGGAGACACCATTGACCCGTCTTTCTGACAGCACATTCACAAATCCAGTGATCATGCAGCGCTATCCCTCAATCTCTGCTGTTCCTCCTCAGTAAGCTGCCCAAACTCCTCCGCAAAGCCCTGCGTAGTCGCCGCACGCTTGAAGAAATCAACCAGGAAACCCTGCGTCTCATCGTCGCGCTGACGGCCACCGCCCGGCTCTTCAGCAGCAAAAGCCATGAGCTGCTCTTTGCTGAAACCACTGCCAAGGTCCATGAAAGGGTTCGCCTCGTCCTCCCATTCACCGTCATCAGATTCTTCTTCGGCAAGCTCAGCAGCTGCTTGTGCGTCGAGAGGTGCGCCAGAGGCGGATTGGAGTTCGACGACGAGGACTTTGAGGATTTTGAGGGGTGCGGGTACTATGGTATACTTGTCAGGATCTGAATTCGTGTGTCAGTTTGTGGATGGGCGTAAGAGGAGTTTATCGCACTGGTTCGCGACAACGACACTACGGCCTACAAGTTTGCTCCACAACATGACTTTCACTGCGTTCAGTGGCAAAGACAGGGAGGTAAACGTGAAAAGAGAAGACTTACTAGCTTTGGCGCGACTCCTGGTCATGATGCGGCCATCGGTATTCGGTATCAAGTCACCCTGCACTTGAACCTGTGCAAGACGAGGGTCCTTCAAATCATACAGTTTTGAAAGAGCGATGACACTACAAACCAAAGTCAGCAATTATGCACAGTCATCGAGTAAACATAAAAGGAAAAAGGGGGAGTTCAACTTATTCCGAACGATCTCAAGCCTTCCAACAGGCTTTCTCCGTTCGTAAGAGAACTGCTCGATTTCCGGAGAGGTTCGTACGTACTTTTGTCGGATCTCGTCGTAGCCCGCGAAGTTGATGGAGTTTTCGAGCCATTTGGCTAGCACAACCTGAAGCCCGTTTTGACCCTCGATGTCCTGGCCAGCCAAGAAGTCTACAACCTCTGAGGCATGGTTCAAGCTTAGACGCGCGAATACGAGCGTCAGACTTTGGATGAACTGTGCTTGTGTTGCTTGGCCTAGACGGACAGCGACACTTCGTAGGAGTTGCTCTAGGTAAGGTCCAAGTCGTTCGTGACCGGCCTTCTCTACTACCTCTGCGGCAAGCGCACCGACTTCGCCAGCAGCATGGTCGCTGCACGAAGACAACAGACGTGAGACGATGATGAGAGTTACCTCAAGACCTGCCTTTCCGGTGTCATCCCGCCATTCGAAGAGCTGTTGGTGATCGTGCGAGATGATGTTCTTTACGGCAGTCGTGGCAGACTTCAGCAGCTCCTCATCGGCAGAGCCTAGCAAGACTCTTGTGAGCTTTGGCATGGTCGTAGCGACAAAGCCAGCGGGTAGCGGCTCTGGTCCATGCTCAGCCATGACAGCCAGAAGATCAGCAGCAAAGTTGCATAAAGCATTCTCCTCGGTCAAGCTTCCGACATCAAAGGCACCCATAAGTGATGGAAGCACCCTTGCGCACAGTTGAACGTACGCATCCCCGCCCATTCGCGCGATAGTCTCCGTCACCTCTTCGAAGGCCTCGGTGACTAGCATGGTGAGTTGGAAGTTGTTAGCTTGATGACTAGCGATTCGGAAGAGCGTGTCGAGACCATTGTCTGTAATGCATATCCGCGTATCAATAAGTATAGCGTCTCGGAGTGTTTCGACGAGAGTGACCATAAGGTCTTCACTGTCGCTAAGCTCTGACATATCTTGTGCAGCCAGGTAGTTGCTGATGGCCATGATGATAGGTGCTTGCATGGGTTGTGTTGTCGCAGGTGGGAGCGCTTGGAGATAGTATTGCAAAGCCCGAATACACGACACTTGGACAACGTCGGACTCGTCAGATGGAATAGCCTGTAGGGATGCTTCGAGGAAGGATGTGCCGAGCTGTTGCAGAGCGTCTCCGGATGTCCTTGTCAAACTTCCAGCGACAAGGTAACCGCGTGCTCTCAGGAAAGCGTCGGGCTGCTGCATGGCATACCGAATGAAGTCCACATAGCCGCTTGCAGCATCTGGACTGATCTGCTTGTCCACGTCCTGGAAATCGCTCAACAGTTGGTTCAGCACGTAAAGCGCGGCTTCTTTAGCTTTCCAGCTCTCAGACTCGGAGTAGAGCGCTCTTGTGTAGGTCAACAAGCCGTTGACAGTAGGCTCTTGCAGCCACTCGCCAAGCTTGATGACGAGGTCACCACAGGCTGTGCGGGGCGTGTAGTTCGCGGTGACGCTTGTCTCCTCGCTCAGGAAAATGTTCACATCCACATCCCAGAGGCCCTCCTCTTCTGTAGTAATTTGTGCATACGCCACGGCCAGCTTCATGACCTGTGTGACCCATGAGTTGTCGGGTGTCTGGTTTTGGAGTTCCTGTTCGAGTTGCGCGCGGACCGGGGGTGCACGAAGACACGCCTGCATGAAGTCCAGCTCCTCTAGAATAAGGAAGTCCAACGTGTACGGCAGACCATCGGCATCTTCGAGCCTGCTCTGACGATCCTCTTTTATGTACATGAGGGAGTATGCGGGTTCTAGCAGCGATAGCTCCTGCCAGGTTGCCTGGAACAGGACGATGCTTTGCGGCGAGAGGATAGCGGGGAAGACGGACCGTATGCGCATGAGGACCTGCGAGCTGTTAGTATCGGAAACACCTCAAACGGGAGAAACTGAACAGGCCTGGAGACTACATCAAGAGAACACGCAAAGTGGGTGACCCAACGTCGATGTAGCCTCCAGGATGTTCAGCTTTTGACACGACCTACCTTGACTGACTGTAGCTTGAGCGCGATCTGTCCCTTGTAGAGCAGGGCGTTGGGCGCATCCGAGTCCTCCTCGTCGATTGACGGCGGATCAGGTAGCCTGTTGTTGAGGACATTGACGAAGAAGGGAATCCACTCCTTGAGTATCTCATCCGCGAAGCTCTTCACCATTGTCTTGTGGTCCTCCAGCACCATCTCGAGGATATCGAAGCAGCCATGGAAGACTTTCACAGCCAAGGCCCTCAGCGTCGGCTTTGTTTGCTCGCTGGTGGCCACGTTGAACAGGACCTTGATCATCTGAGGCGCGACCTGGAAGAAGGTCGTCTCGTTGAAGCAGTCCTCCACCAGCTCACCGAGCACCCTGAGAGCGCCATGTAGCTGGCCTTCGGTCGCGTTCGGTATCAGTGCGAGGAGGTTGTCGAGGAGATCTGGCCATTCGATGGGGTAGTCGGCGCTTGCGATCTTGCTCACGACGAGGCCCGCGGCGGCCTTGAGCTTGCGGTCGAGCCCGTCCTGGGTAGCGAGGTTGAGCAGCTGCTGCCGTAATACAGCCTTGTTCTCTTCCGAGACGAGCGCCTGGCCCTTCCACTCGTCGAGGCTGGAACTCCATCCCGCCAGCACAATGTTCTTCAGGTACAGGACGGCGGCCTGGCGGATGTTGAGCGGCACGCTGTCATGGCAGGCGATGCCAATGAGGCCGAGGGGGAGCTCCTGGTGGCCGTAGAGGGAGAGCAGCTGCTGCTCAGCGTGTTTGCGCGTGTCCTCCTGGGCGGTTTGGGTTGCTGATAGCAGCTGGACTAGTTGGTCCTCCATGGTCAACGTGGGGCATGCGCGTATAGAGCTAGTCGGCACGTCTAGCGCTCCCCAAAACGGCTGGCGAGGTAGAAGGATCGGGCGTTGACGCGTTTGTTGATGGGTGCTGCTGGGTGATTGAGCGCGAGGAAAAAGAACGCGCTCGGAGATGCGGGGCAACTCCGTGAATCTCTGGGTGGTGGGGTGGCTAAGCGGAGGCTATAGCTGAAGCAATAAGCCGCGACGACTGCATATACGTAGCAGATGGGTATAGACGTCAGAGACTGATACAGGAGTAAGGCGGAGTATGGCAGCTGGGCTATAACGAAGGGCGAGGTGGCCAATTGCCCGACAGGCGGTGACGACGATGCCTCTTCCCAGTTCCCGGTCGGTGGAAACGCGACTATTACCTACACCTTCGCCTCTCCCCAACCCTCCCCTTGCTGCCACGTTGTTATCCTCAACAATGCCAGGGGCACTCGACACAGCATACGCACCACGTCTGCCATACCGATGAGCGATCCTACCACAGACTTGACCGTTATCCGTGGATACGCTAGTGGCTTTCACGCGACGAGACGCGTCTGCGTCATGACTACAATCCACTACTCAAAGTGCACAACACTATCTTGTACCTGAGGCGCATACATACTCCGTCCACGAATAGAACAATCACACTCCTACTACCACACATACCTACCGCAACAATGCCAGCAACCTACCTCGAAACCCTCAACCACTTCACCACCTTCCTAACCGCCTACACGCACACGCTCCTCCACCACCGCGAAATCTACCCCACCACCTCCTTCGCTCGCTCCCGTTTCCACAACGCCATCGTCTACCAATCGCGGCACCCCATGGTCTGCGAATGGATCACCGACGCCATAACCGCCGTGCGCGAAGAGCTCCTCAAGGGCGTCGTCTCCAGAATCGGCATCGTCATATTCACCTACGATGAGTACGATGAAGGCTCAGGTAGCGCCAAGATAATGGAACGCTACATGTTCGACGTGAGCGAGTTTCCTGTTGTGGAACGGCGAGATCGTATGTTGGATATTGAGTTTGAGGGAGGGCCTATGCTGGAGACGAAGGGCAAGGGAAAGCAAAAGGAAGAGGAAAAGGAGATAGAATACAATAATGATGGGACTATAAAGAGGAAGAAGACGAAGCCGTTGGATACGGGTGTGGACGTTAACATCAGCGAGCAGTTTCGCGCGGCGTTTCTGCAGCTTGAGATGCGGACGTCTAGACTGGAGCCTCTGCCTGAAGGGTGCACTTTCAATGTTAGTATGGAACTCAAGGATGAGGGCGATATCGATCCGCCGGTTGGACACCCGCAGGTCTGGCAGCCGGTCCAGCCTAGTTTGCAGAAGACGGGGAGGGGTGCGCTGTTTAGGGATAGGGACGTGTTTGATGAGGAAGCGTTTGAGTTGGGGATAATGAGAGAGAAGGAAGGGAGAGATCTGGGTGGGGCCAAGGTCACGCCCATACGCAGTGTACAGGCGGGTGTTTTCAGGTTTGAGAACTGGATAGAAGAGGGCAGGGCAAAATTTGAGAGCCCAGAAGACAGTATACCATCGAGCTTCTCGAGTTTTTGACAGTAGATGGTTGAACAACTCGAATTTGATTACTACAATGCTCTACTGAGTATGGAATGTTCCCTGCCTCTGGTAAAGAGTCAATGCAAGCTGTTATATTTCGTGAAAGCGAGGTGTGCTACGAAGACGGAATTCAAGATATTCTCTACATCAAAGATAAGTCGGCTTACTACATAGACCTTCAGAATTTCTATCGCGAGTAAGTTGCGTTTTATGGTCCCGCCTCAACGTCGATAGAGGCAGATACCTGGATCACCATGCCACCTCCATGCTATGCTATAGAATGAATCCCATCAAACGAAAACACGCTATCTGTGAGGAGCCTGGGGCGCCATGCCACGACGCCGTCGCCTATCAGCTACCATCGCCGCAGCCGCTACCCGCCGAGCCTCAAGCAGAGCATCAAGATTTTGTTCCCCAACACCCAACCGCGCGCGCTCTGCTGCAAGCTCCTGCTGTCTAGCTCTGAAATTCTGACGCACGGCTATCTGCTGCTGATCCTGGCCAAGTCCAACGTTGTTCAGGAAGCGGAAAGCCTCGCGAGCATCGCGCTGCGCCTGTTCGCCGTTGGCAATTCGACGAGGGCCGCCCAATTCCGGTCGGGCATTGCGTTGGCGAACCCGTTCATTAATCCGATCATCAACTCTATTGGCTTCGGGAAGGCGGGCTGGTTGGCCTGGTCCGTTGACTTGTCCCCTCCCGATGCCAAGTTGCGGGAGGGGGTTGGGTGGGAGCATGGCCCAGAGGGCATTGAACAACCGAGGTCTAGCAATATTGGTTAGACGGATGAAAAAAGTGACATCTTGGACATGGCGCGATCATTGGGATCGGACGTTGAATGTATGGCTGATATGGCTGCTGTGGAATGGCTCCGTAGAAACCCATAGGCTGAACGGGCTGAACGGGCTGAGCAGGATAGAGATGTTGATAGAATGGGAATGGTTGGACGGGGTATCCAAACGCAGGCATGGTAGGCATGGCAGGCATAGCAGGCATAGCAGGCATAGCAGGAATGGCTGGAAAGGCTGGCATGGCTGGAAAGGCTGGCATGGCCGGGATGACTGGATGAGGGTGGACGTACCGATCTGCTGGGGCGACATTTGCTGCTATTCCATTGAGGTGAGCCGGCGGCGCAGGTACTGGGGGCACCATGGGAGCTCGCCTGAGCTGCTCTCCAACCATGTGGTAAGGGAAGGCTTGCGCTTCTATGCCTGCTCGACCTTTTCGTGCATCTTCTGCTTGCTTGACTCGATCGGAGACCTTGACCATCAAATCTGCATCTGAAAGGCCTGGATTATCGACTCGGACTTTGGCCATGGCCTCATCGGCTGCGCGCTTGACCTCTTGTTCGTGGCGGTCTTCGACGTTTTCGTGTAGTGGACATTTGCCTGCACGAGACTCGCCGAAATGGTTATAGTCTGTTACGTTTTTAGAGCAGACGTAGCTAGGCTTTTGTCAGCTGATATCGGGATCTCTTAGGCTAGTGACTTACCATTGCACGTTCCTACAGTGCGTGCATGTCATCTTGTTGCAGCCAAGTTCCTTGACGAAAGGGTGCTTGCATTTGTTGCAGTGTCGTATCAAGGCTGCTGACATCGCTTCTTCGACAATGTGTCGCAGGGTAATTTGGCCATTCTTCTTAGATTCCTCGCAGCTGAGTGGGATGTGAGACTCCTTTTCGCAAAGGCGACAACTCGTCTTGCTGCATTTGGGGTTTTGACAGCGGAACTCCTTGTCAACCTCAACCGGTAGACATTCCATTTTGAAGTCGCAGAACGGGCACTCCGAGAGGAAGTCCAGACCCGCCGCTTCCAAGTCCTCTCTTTGTTGCATATGCTCGAGTCGCTCGAATGTCTTGTCGCTCAGAACCTGTTGCAACTGTCGCCGGGTGAACGTTCCATTGCAGTCGTCGACTCCGAAACACTTGGGTCTGCACCGAGATTGACCCATCTGCGTCTCGATTTGTTGACGGGGACAGTCTACGCAGTAGAAGTGGGTAGTGTCTCCGTTGCAACTTATCATGCGGTTGAGAGGAACGTCGTTGAAGCAACATGCGCATTCACCCATTTCATTGTTCATTTGCGCTCGATTTAAGTTGTCTTCTTCCGCCTTTTCCGCGTCTTTGACCTTTTGGCGTTTGGCTGTAACCTGTCAGTAGGGAGCAGACGAAGGAGACCACACGATCTTCGCTGTTCTGAGACATAGGGTTCGAAGTCCTCTATTGATCTCCTGGAAGGTCATGGTCACGACATTCCACTTACCAGCTTCAGCTTCGCTCTTCTTCTTCGCTGCGTGCAACTCCTTGGGTATCTGACTTCCTTGTTCAATCAACTGGAGTTCAATACCGCGCTTGATGCGTGATTTGTTTATCTTCGAATATGTCCTGGCAATTTGTCCGTAGTTACGCACTTGCTGTTCAATGACACCGTAGGCCTTGTAAAGAGTCTTCTGCTGTTTGAGAACGGTCGTGATATGCCGCACGGGTACAGTGAGGAATTCGTCTTTGAGTAGCTCTGTTCTGTGGAAAGTATCGTTAGTACAACGAATGAAAGGGGTGAGAAGGTATAAAGACGACGCAAGGCGTTGAAGGTGCGTAAAAAATGTAGCGGATGACTACAGAATTGTTGTTTGTGTTGCTGTTACTGCGCTGGCCCATAGGCGAAGTGCAACGTCCACGACAGTCGTTCCATGGTTCCAGGTGTAATAAAACGCTCGCTTCACGATCCACCTGGAATGATGGTTGCCAATCAACCCCGACTCTTGAAGCTTTCAGACATCACTGAACCATAAAGCTCATAGGGCTGTGCCCGTAAAGGAGTTGTACTTACGCGTCATGTTCATAACCGCCGATCTCGGGGTCACGCTCGCCCTTCTCGTAGGTGCTCAACTCACCCTCGGCTTCGTTATCCCTCTTTCTCTTCTTGTTCTTCGCGTCATCTGATTCTTTTGGATACGGCTCGCCTTCCAATAACTCCGTGAGTAAATGCTCGCATTGTGCGGTTGTTCGTGTGGTGTCTGTCATCTTTTCTTGGATCAATTTGAGGACGTAATCGACCGAGATGTCCGGCAGCACGCTCACAACCATCTGCAAACAGGCAGCTTCGGTGACCAATGCGATGTCCTCACCCCAATCGGGAGCTCGTCCCTCTGGCGGTGGTCTGTCGTCTTCTGCCACGACAGCGTCAGACGGCGGAACGTCAATGTCTGGAATGTCGGTCAAATCGATCACTTGACGGTCATTTGCCTGGAATTCTGCGCGGAACTCTGCGATAGGATCATCCAGATCCGGGAAGTCAAGAGCGAATTCTGCTGCAGATCGTGCGTCGAAGGCCTCCAATTCGTGTCTTGCGAGACCCTCGTCCTCCGTCTCACTATCGGAGAGCAAATCAATAACTTCATGATCGCGATGAATGCCAGTTG